CTCAACTGAAGCTTGTATCTAAAACATAGCTATTGAATTATTCCAGATATATTGTCATATTTCTCCATTCTTTTATATTGATAATGATAGGTTGCTTAAAAATGGTCATTAAGTTTTTTGTATTGGCTTATTTCTTTTACATGCGGACTGAGATTTAAAGATTTAAATAGCAGTGCTTGAACTCAAACCCCACATTTGTCTTAGATGTACTAGGGTAAAGTCATAGAGTTTTGGGGGCTTTAGTATCCTTTATGTAAAGTGGAAATGATGGTTCTTTTTAAGAATATTGTGGAAAATGAGTTATTTTTGTGTCAAATATAAACTTTGATCGCTAAATAATAGGATTTGATCAGATTATCTTTGCATCTCTCTGTTTCCATTAGGCAAAATTCAAAGAATTGGATTAGTAAAAATTTTAAAAAATAGACTCAATCTTTCATCAAATTTTTGTTAGTGATAGAGTCAAGGAAAGCAATCTTTTAGAAAAGAAGATTCAAAGATAAAGTGATGAGGAGTAAGAAATTGGATAAATTTCCAAAGTAATGCAAATTATTGTACTCTGATAATTCCATTGGAAGTTAAACTATACTTAGTGAAAAAGATGCTATCTCTTTAATAAACATAACTGAGCCAATTATTTTGTCTCTAACAGGGCACATATTTCATAGCTGTATTAATTCCAGAACACTAAAATAACAGGGTGGCAGCACTCAGTAAGAAACCAGTGTGTCTTTTGGCTACATTTTGTTGCTTCTAAGACCTTTTCAAATGTTATAATTAACTGTACTCTTTCTGCTGTTTAATCTGCTTATCCTAATTTCCCCATGCTACTCCTTGAGCTAGCAGATCTACTCCCACAGTAAGAAAGAGAATTAGAATAAAACAATTTGAGTCTTACTGTGGTGATTTCTCTGTATTGCATGAAGCTTTCTTAATATGTGAATTGTACCATCCTTTCACACTTCCCCTCCCCACATTCCAACCTATTATTTTTTTCCTGTCTCTAAGTTACTTAAAGATGTTGGAGGTTTCATCAGATGAGGACAAATGCTGTTGAACGTTCTCTGGCTCTTCAACCACTTTTCCATGTCCTCCAAAATGCCATTCCATGATAAAAACCTAGAAATATTTAGAAGCCCCAATATTCAAGGAGATTGTTATTATGATGCTTGTTTTTCTATGTTCTCACCACATTGTGTCATTTGAAGAGATCATCATGTTATTATTTGGAAATAGTTTCCTTTTCTACAAATAGATTAGAATCTAACCTTACCAATATAGATTACATTCTTCTATTACCAAGGACCAAAGGAATTTTAACAATGTCCCTGCCTTTTTTTTTTCTTTTTCTTCCCCTTACCTCTGTTATAAAAATTGACAGATGTGACTCTCAGGGCAGTTTAAGAGGGTGTATTAAAATGGGGGCCATAAAGTATATTCAACTTAGAAAATTTTGATTTAACTTGAACATGTAAAATCACTACTCTTTGCAAATAGGAGGAAGAAGGCACCTACGACCAAACCCTTGAGTTCCGTAGAGGAGGTGATGGTCAGCCAAGACGATCGACTCGGCCAACCCAGCAATTTTATCAACCTCCCCGGGCTCGGAACTGATAAAAAGGTAATGCTGATGTTGTGAAGTGGTTTTAATATAAAGAGAGGAGCAATTTATGTCAAATATGAAACTTGTAGATAACTGACATTTCTCAATGATAAACACTGGGAAAAAAGAGATTTTTTTAAAGCTATGTTGAATTATAAAGTATTTAAGATTATACCATAGTTATACACTACTTTTCTATCAAATTTTTCCTCAGAAATGCTGTTCCTAGTCTCCTGTTTTTTCCTTTATCTACTTTTTTATTGGAAGTGTTGAATCTGTGTAACAACTATAAATTTGAAAGCAAAAAGGAGATGAAAGAGTGGCCAGCAGGTGGCGTAGTGGTTAAAATGCTGGACTCCCACATGGCTGACCACTGTTCCAAGTTCCAGTCCTGGTAGATTAAAACTCCACCAGGCACATGTGCATGCATGCTTAAAATCCAGAGGTGCAATGGAGGAGAAGGGATTATAGCATGATTTCTCATTTTTCCTCTCTGTTTTTCTCTGGCAAATGCACATGCTCTGTGGTAAAAGTCTAAAAATTTTTTTAAAAAATGTAAATGTAAACAAAGGACCAGATAATCACCAATCTGAAAAATTAAGTTTATTTTTTGTTGTTTATTTAATTTCAATTTTTTTCTTAAGAAAATGTTTCATAGTATATCTTAAGGAATTGGGTGGCAACAACATGATTATTAATTGAAATGTGCTTTCTGACCCATACGCTATCATTCCCAAAGCTTTAATTTTAATTTCATAGAGTGCTATCAGAAAATCATCTTTGGGCTAGCAGGAAGTGTGGAGGTTAAGGTGCTTAGATCCCGCATAGCCGACTGCATGATTCAAGTCCTAGATCCTGCAGCTTGAAAAACATGCCAGGCATGGGACCATCAGATGGTGTAGTGCTTATGTTGCTGGACTCCCACATGACCACTGCAGTTTGAGTCTTGGGCCTGGTGGCTTTAAAAATCACTCTGGATGCGTGTTCATATGTGCTCAAGATCCCAGAGGATAATGAAGGAGAAGAGATTGCTGCATGTTCATCCCCCTTGGCAGTCGATTTCTCACTTTCCCTCTCACTGTCTCTGTCTCTGTCTCTCTCTTCTCTGGTGAATGCATGTGCCCTATGACCAAAACCTCTTAAAACAAACAAACAAAAAAACATGTCAGGTGCGTGTGTATGCATACCCAAACTCCTGAGAGGAGAATGGAAAAGGGATTACAGAGTGGTCACCCTCTGGGGGTTGCTTTTGCACTTTCTTAAAAAATCCCTCTTTGCCTCTGTTTGGCAGGCACATGCACCTTATAGCAAAAACTCAAAACAAACAAACAAACATATAGAAAATGCCTCTTAAGAAAAACACTATGCTTGGATTTCTGACTTTTTTTGCACCAAAATAAACTTGTACTTTAATTCAGTTTTTTTTATAAACTTTTTGAAGTTCTATCACATTTCCTCATTTCTAGTTTCTACTTATTTAAATGTCTAAAAAGAAAATATAAATTATAAACAGTTATTTGACTTCCAGCAAATGTAAGCATGAATTCTGATATCTGCTGAATTTTTTCTAAAGGTTTTTTACCTAACATTATTCAGAGTGAGAGTGAGAAACATTTAAGTTGTTTTCTGTTATCACAGTTTTCATTTTCTTCCTTTTTCCCCCTTTTAATTGCCAGATGTATTTGTGCTTGCCTGAGAGACATAGAGCAGGAAAGGGAGACAGCACCCCCTAACAGCGTGTAGTCACACCGCACTGCAATCCCTTCTGTGTTGTTCCATCCTGTAGGGATTTTGGCCTTGCAAGCACATGTGCCTGGTGGGTTTTTCAAGCCACCAACGATGGAATTTAGACCATAGTCTGTGGGATCTGGCTCTTTTAACCACTAGGCACAGAGCTGGCTCTCTGTATCACTTTTAAAAAGCTTTGTTTCCAGGGGACCAGCAGTTAGCATAATGGTTATGTCACTGGACTCCCACATAGTCGACTGCAGTTCGAGTCCTGGACCCGGTGGCTTAAACTCACGCTGGGCACGAGTGCATGCGTGCCCAAGATCCTGAGAGGAAAATGGAGGAGAAGGGATTGCGGCATGGCCATCCCCCCTGGGGGGTGATTTCTCGCTTTCTATCTCTCTGTCTCTCTCTCTCTCTCTGTCTGGCGAGCGCATGTGCCCTATAGCAAAAACCTTCCCCCCCAAAAAAAAGCTTTGTTTCAGGACCAGCAGTTAGCATAATGGCTATGTCTCTGGACTCCCATGTAGTTGACCATGGTTCGAGTCCCAGACCTGGTGGCTTAAACTCACGCCGGGCGTGTGTACATGCGTGCCCAAGATCCCGACAGGAGAATGGAGAAGGGATTGCAGCATGGCCATCCCTCCTGGGGGGTGATTTCTCGCTTTCTGTCTCTCTGTCTTTCTGGTGAGTGCATGCGCCCTATAGCAAAAACCTCTCTCAAAAAAAAAAAAAAAAAGCTTTGTTTCATAGTTGTAGATTTACTTTTGGTGTTTTGGGTCCTTTGCTAGATAATGAATGGCATAGAGTCTCTGTTTGGTAAGTGTTTAAGTAATTTGCATATTCCAAATTACTTAAACACTTTGAATATTCCAAAAAATATTTTTAAAAGCCACCATCCCCATCCCCCACACACACCCATTTACCCAGTGTGGGGAGAGAATTGAATTTTATTTGAGCCTAGTACTAAAGACAGTATCAGAGACTTATGAAGCAGGAGATTCCTGGAAGTTGGATTAGGTGAACAAGGCAGTCTCAGGGATTACTGTGGGCATGTAGCTGCACATCTGAGAAATGGTGGCAGGTCCTATTGAGGCTTGAGGGGACACAGAACACAAAAATCCAAACTTCAAGTGTCATAATTGTTATAGACACCTTGGAAAAATGAGCAGATAGAGAATAGAAAAATTATGTACAGTTCATCAATGAGTGAAACTGAGCAAAACTGTGCATTTGGAGCAATTTCTGATTGGATGTGGCTGGGAACAAGATACTAATTAGTAGGAGCAGCACATGAATTTTAAGCTCTATATGGTAGAAGAGTCCTCTGAAGACAATGTAGAGGCAAAAGGAAGCTTAAAATGGGGAAGAAGTAGCATCTAGACAAGGGACTCTCAGTGGGTATAATAGAGAGTGTGAACCAAAACAATGGGTGGCAAAAATATTTATTGATAGTGACAGTACAGTGTGGCTTCAGGTACCTTAAGAATTTGCATTTGATGTGTTCTGTGATAGCAGGAATTTCTGTGCAAGAGGGTGATCTGATCAAAATTACGCTTAAGAAATACTGCTGTTTGTTGTAGGGTGGAATATAACAACAGGAGAGAAAGAATGTGTGAAGCTATCGCACTAGTCCATTTGAAGAGTGGTTTGAGTTGTGTGTCCTGCTGTGAAAAGAGAGATATGATGGATCTGTGTAGTCAGAGTATGTGAGCCAAATCAGCAAGAAGCTGCCTGGAGCCTTAGAGGTTGAGGCTCAGCATGGACAGCCATTTAATAAATGTTGACTCACTCTGAACTCCATTCCTAGTTTTTTCTTTGTTTGATGAAAGTGTGATTTTCACAGTTTCTCACATAAGCCTGAAACTTTAAAACCAATAGCTAAGCATAGATTACTACATAAGTACCATGACTTTGGTTATTTGCAAAGTCTAGTTTTTAAACACCATTTTTAGTTAATAAGATGCACTTTCAAAATTTTTCTTCCTTAACACAATCTGGTCCAGCATCCCTTTCTAGAATTTTTCAGTTCTCTTTTCCAGTCAGAGAAGTGATCACCGTAAACATAGATGTTACAGAACCCCACGATGCCAGCAGGACTGGCAGCATGTGAGGATAATGATGCCCCAAGCTCTTCATTTTCCAAGCAGGCGACTGTTTACTTTGGAAGACTTACGAGCTGTTTGTATGCAGTCGTGGGGACTCTATCCATCAGTCCCTGCCCAACCACTCTTGCATGCATGAAGCTGAAATAGAACTGGATTAAATAAGTTTCTCCTCGTTCATCTCAGCTCCTTCTGTTATCACTGCCCAAAGTGGTTTCAACTAGCGTAGTTCCCTATAAAGATGGGGAGCAGCCAGGGGCAGTGACAGACCAATCTAAGTTATTGTGTGGACAAACCCAACTCAGAAATGTTCGGAGAGGAAGTGGAGATGGGGAAGATGGGGGTAGAAGAACTTCAGTGGCAGACTACATCCTTTTTAAGGTAGTTCTCTGTTAAAAAGTATTCAGTTAACCAAATTCATGAAATCAATACATTGGCAATAAAGGGCCTAACAGTGGCAGAGATGTACTTTAAGGCTTCCTAAAAAAAAGTTTAAAATTTTGTTTTCTCTTTACATAATGCTTTATAGAGACTGTTTACGAGTTTGACAGCTGTATTCAACCTATTCTATGTATAAAAACACTGCACATTGATAGGTAAGTCTCAGCGAAAGTGTGTCTTGACAAAGTGTGGAAGAGTTAATTTAGGGGTCCAATCTAATTTTCTTCCTTTTTTAAATAGAGTTTTGTCAAGAAAGGAGCCTTGATGGAAACATGCTGCTCAAATCCTGTTGATCGACTCTCTACTTTCCCTTCAGTATAGATGCAGCCATGGAGGATATCATTATTTGAAGAAAGAAAAAGAAGCCTTTAGGGGAAAGAAAAGAGTCAACCTTCACAAAGAGTAGGAAAAAGTACTGAGTTAAGTAAAGCAAAAGGAAGACTTAACAAGCGAAAGGAAGACTTTTTTCTTCTGCCATCAATAAAACCATTGCGCTATTATATACATTGTTTTACTGTATGTTTTATTTGCCTAATGTTATCTTTCTTATTCATCTTATATTAACCCCATACTAATTGCCTTCCATAGAGTAGCAATTACAGCATAGTGATGCCTCCCCCTATAATTACAGAATAAACTGACTTACACAGCTTGCCACAGTTCTTGCAAAAATAACCTAAAACCAAATAGCATTTCTTAGCATGGTAATAGCTACTAAATATGACAGCAAGAAGTGTTGAAAATTTGAATATGTCATTTTTAGCATTAGCTTTTTCAAATGTAGTTCAACTTAAAAACAAAACAACAGGTACTCCCTTTCTTATGAAACATGCAGTGTATCTTTCAGGATGTATCTGGTTATAGGTAACAGAAAACCCATTTCAAAGTAGCTTAACTAATAAGGGAATTGACTGGCTCATGTCACTGCCAGAAATGTAGTAAATTTCAGGATTGGTATAATTCAGTGATTCAGAAATGTCATGAAGACTGATGTTCTGCATCCTTCATTTCTGCTTTCTCCGGAATCAGTCTCATTATACAGCCCGTTGCTTCATGTGGTAACAAGATGATTTCCAACAATTCCCAGAGCTACTAAGCCCAGAGTGAACTTGGGACCTTTCCCAAAAGTGCACTCAAAAGAGAGAAAAAGCTTTCTTCATTAGGCCACATTTATCTTTCCTGGATCACTTCTACTTATGAACAAGTAACCCCAGCAGGGTCTATGGATTATTTTGGACTTGGCCGAAGTGCCCAGGCTTAGAAGTGGGGTGCTTATTGGAGGTTGATTGGAAGCAGAAGATATGCACCCGAAAGTCAGGATGCTTGCCAAGAGGAGAGGGATAAGATGTAGATGAAGCAGCCAGAATGTCCGTGACAGTAAACCCATTGTCTGAACTATGTGCTCTTCGTGTAGTGGGCAAAGATAGTCTTCCTATAGTTTCAGTCTGTTGATGCCAAAAGTGAACATTTAAAAAGAAAGAACGAGAGGTCCAGCAGATAGCACAGTACTTAAGATACTGGACTCCCACATTGCCAGCCATGGTTTGAATCCCAGGCTGAGTGGCTTGAAACTCACACCGGACTTGTGTGCACTCGTGCCTCCCAGGAGGAGAATGGAGAAGGGGCCATCTTCCCGGGGGGTGATTCTTCACTTTCCTTTTTTCTCTTTCTCTGACTCTGTGGTGAGTATATGTGTCCTATGGCAAAAATTTAAAAAAAAAAAAAAAGAAAGAAAGAAAGGAAAGAAAGAATGAGAAGAAAGAGGGGAGAGAGGAAGGAAGGAAGAAGAAAAATGAAATGGAGGGGAGGCTGGAGGGAAGGGAGGAAAAGAGAGAAAGAGAATGCTCTGACCAAAATAATTGAAAATATATGGTAGTTTGCTTTAAAGGAGAGGACCTTAGACATTCACTTAGAGTCTATTACAATATATGGTAGTTTACTTTAAAGGAGGACCTTAGACATTCACTTAGAGTCTATTAATTCTTAGTTGTTATTTATTAGCCCATGGTTGACAGTAGACTGAACTAGCAGTGTATGGTTCTTTGTGCTTTTGTTTTTGCCCTTGCTGTGCTAATCAAACCAACTAGGAGTTCTGAGGTGGGTCTGGGCATTAGAGCCCCAAGGTTTTTAAAGTGTATCCTACATTGAGAACCAGAGGAAGGCTCATAATTGTTCTGATGAGTTTGACAGTGATGAGTCAACAAAAGAAGAGGCGGAAGAATATTTAGAGTAGTTTAAAGTACTGGTTCTCTGTACGTGTTTGTTAGATGGAGACAATAATACCTCAAACAGTATTTTAAGTTTCTCAATAGATGGTGCTAGGGTTGGTTAGTGGTTACTATTATTACTCAACAGTCTCTAAGAATGGTTCTATTTGGTAACACATGAGAGACACATATTTGGGGTGGGGTTGTCAAAAAGTTCATGGAATATGTATTATGAAAAAATTGTGCCTGGATTTCATTTTTTTGTGCCAAAATAAACTCATATTTTAATTCCATTTTTGGACAAGCTTTCAAAGTCCCCTTGTATATGATTTGTCTTGAAGACATCTAGAAAATTTTAAATTGGACAGCAAGTAAAGCCAGCCTATTTGTTTTTCTGATTATTGGTGTCTCCTTCTGAGGGTAGGAGTCCATTTCAGACAAAGCAAGATATATATGGCTAAGCTTCACTGTGGCTTTTTATTATTCTTTAGTAACAAGCTGCAGGCTAGGAGATGCATATGGGAAAAGTGGCAAAAAATAATCGTTATTATTCACCAAGGATTTCCTATGAGCCTAGCACTTTGCTAAACATTTTTCACTCATTATCTTTTGTAGTCCTCCCCACAGCTCTGTGAGATATGCCTTGCTAGCTCTGTTCTCCAGCTGAAGTAGCTGGTGTCCTTATTTACCGCAGGTCACAAAGTGGCATGTTAAAGCCAGAGTTCAAAGCTAACAAACTACAGGAAGTTCCCCTAAGGAGGACAGTTAGCACTCCACATTTCAGGAGTGTCTGCAAGAAAGCTGTTTCTCTTCCCTCTTTTCCCTTCCTATCTTTTAGTTTTCTGTTGGTTTTATTGTGGATCTATTCTGTTATTTTAATTAGCACCTTAGGTGTGTTTTAGAATTTGTCCTTGCTTTGAAGTATGATGCTTTCCTTTGTTTTCTCTCCTAGTTCCATGACAGATCGGGCCTCATCATGGCCCCTTCCTCCCACCCCGTACCCCTTACTCTCTTTTCTCTCTCCTTGTTTCAAGCTCCTGCTTTTTCTTTCATTTTCCATATTTATGTTTTTAGCTTGAAGTTTTACATCTTCTTTTTTAAAAATAAAAGTGATTTTTATTATAGTTCAAAAATGAATGTTTATTTATTTGTTTAGTAAATATTTTCTGAGTACTGTTTTAGGCAGTACAGTATATTATAAAGAAAACCAATATTTCCTCACATTTCAAAGGCTCATTATCTAGCTCCTTTTATCAATTTATTTTAATAATTGCATATTATCTGGGATCAGCAGTTGGAGTAATGCCTATGTTGCTGGATTACCATGTAGCCGACCATGGTTTGAGTCTTGGACCCGGTGGCTTAAACTCACGCCAGGCGTGTGTGCATGTGTGCCCAAAATCCTGAGAGAAGAATGGAGGAGAAGATATCGTGGCATGCCCATCCCCCTGGGGGATGATTTCTCGCTTTCTGTCTCTCTCTGTCTCTCTCTGTCTTTTTGGCAAGCACATGCACCCTATAGCAAAACCTCTCCAAAAACAAAACAAAACAAAAAATTGCATATTATCTTTTTCATTTTACTTTTATTTCTTTATTATAAACATATTTTTAAAAAAATTTTAATTGCCAGAGGTCACATGGGTTCACCAGATTGAGAGAGAGAAGGCACCTTTCAATGGGGACCTGGTGACACCACAATCCTTTTTTTTTTTTAGAGTTATTTTTGGTGGAGGGCATATGCACTTGCCAGAGAGAGACAGAGAAACAGAATGCAAGAAATCATCCTGGGAGTTTGGGGGGATGGCCATGCTGCAATCCCTTCTCCTCCCGTCTCCTCTTGGAATTTTGGGCATACTATGCGAGTGAGTTCTAAGCCACCAGGTTCAGGTTTCAAACCGCAGTTGACTACTTGGGAGTCTAGCAATGTAACCGTTATGCCATTTTCTGGTCCCCACACCACAGTTCTTTTTCCTCTGTTTCATCAGGATTTCAGTCGTGTGCACACTTGGACATGGCATGTTTTTTTGAGCTGCTGGGGCTGGGATTCAGACCATGGTCAGCCATATGAGATCTGGCCCGCAGTGCATAGGGTTCAACCATTGCACTATTGTGATCAGTCCATATTATTTCTTTAATATATTTTCACTGACTTTTATTTTTGCTGATCTATTGTAACTGATCATTTAAATTTTATCAATTTTTACTTTTATTATATTACATTCTATTCTCTATTTTTAAAAAATGTTTTAAATTTTATCAATTTTTTTTTACATCTGGTCCATGAGTGTGTGAAGCATCTAAAGTTGAATCTCCAAGCTATTGACACGTCCTCGACGTAGACCTCAACTTAAAGGATGTTTCGTACTGCTACTTCTTTCTCACCGCATAGCCGTTGCACTTACTAGGATATTGTAAAGGGCCAGCAGGTGCCATGGTGCTTAAGATACTGGACTTCCGCATGGCTGACCATGGTTCTTGTCCCAGACCCAGTGGCTTGAAAATTGCACTGGGCACACACTGTGTGTGTGTGTGTGTGTGTGTGTGTGTGTGTGTGCGCGCACACACATGCCCAAAATCTCCAGAGGAGAATAGAGAAGAAAAAAGTGTGGCATGACCATCCCTCCTTGGGGGGTGATTTCTCACTCTCCTCAGAATTTCTTCCTGTGTCTCTCTGGTGAGTGCACATGCTCTATAGTAAATACCTCAAAAAATAAAAAGGATTGTAGAAACAACTGTCAGCTAATAAAGAAAATCTGAAAGCTAATAAGTTCTGAGAGTTGCCTAAAGTCCTCTCCTTCTAATTAAAATACCAAATTTTGTCAATTTTGGCCAGAAGATTCTCATTAATTCCCCTCCCATTTTTTCTCCCTCCTCCCCTTCTCTCTTCTTCATCTCACCCTCTCCTTTTTCCTCCCTCTTTTAATTCTTTTCTTTCTTGTCTGTCTGTCTGTCTGCCTGCCTGCCTTCCTTCCTTCCTTCCTTCCTTCCTTCCTTCCTTCCTTCTTTCCTCCCTTTCTCCCTTCCTCCCTTCCTCTCTCCCTTCCCTTCCTCCCTTCCCTCCTTCCTTCTTTCCTTCTTTCACTTTCTTTTTCTTTTTCTTTCTTTTTTCTTTCTTTCTTTCTTCCTTCCTTCCTTCCTTCCTTCCTCCCTCCCTCCCTCCCTCCCTTCCTTTTTTCCTTCCTTCCTTCCTTTACCTCCCTCCCTTTCTCTTCTCTTCTCTTCTCTTCTCTTCTCTTCTCTTCTCTTCTCTTCTCTTTTCTTTTCTTTTCTTTTCTTTTCTTTTCTTTTCTTTTCT